AGTTTAGAATATTATTTATTCCTGATGTTTTCTCTGTCTGGGAACTAATCTTGCTAAAAATAGTATTGACAATAGGAACCTCACTTACCTGTTGACCCCAAATGAGATCTGTTCTGATAGCCACCACTAATTAGTTGGTCTGTGTACTAAGCTGCGGTAGGCATCTAGAATGATCTAGTGTGGACAGTACACAGTGCTATAGCCTATGAGCGACGTGGAGGACACCAGAGAGGACGACCGCAGGACTTTACGATCGGCTAGAGGACCAGTATCCCATGTGTCTTTAGGACCGGAGGGTGATAGGGAACTGTTCCACCGATAAAGGGAAAGGAGAGCTAGAGCAGCCGAGGCCAGCAGGGCATTTGCTAGAGAGGCCAGTGTTATAGCAGCCATGGCTACCACAGCCATGAGCACGTCTGCGCAGCAGACTTCCCAAGCCRGAAGTTCAGGTACCGCCGGGTCCACGGTCGTGCAGACCGTGAGTCAGTCCACTGGCTTAATGGCAAGCCAGCCCGCGGTGTTGTCCCCAGAGGATGTCGCCATCCAGCAGGCATCCCTGCAAGAGGCACAGCTACAGCAGGCATTAGGAAAGATAAAAAGGGAGAAAGAGATAATGATTAGAAGAAGAGCCAGGATGCAACAGAGAGGGATAAACATAGAGGAGTTCGAGGCGATGGACCTGACGCATATGGATGAGGATGTGAAGGTAGTTGGGAGGGCCCTGCTAGGCGTAATTGAGATGCAGGAGCATCAAACTACCCTCCTTCAGGACATTCAACAAAGCCTAGCCGTGTTGGCAGGGCGTGCTCAGGCAGCACCATCACCAGCAGGGCCTGATGCCTGGTCAGTGCCATATCCTCCTCCTTCTGTTCCACCGGTGACTGGGGTATCCCCATATGTAGCCCCTTCATCGGTTGCTATCGTTTCCCTCGGCATGCCTCTGTCAGGAGGGGTAACAGAAGGGAGTAGTTTGCAGGTTCCTGTTCAGACAGTGTTTACTCCAAGTCCGTCACAGGTTGCAGTCACCACGCAGCCTGCTGTCTCGCAGTTAGTGCAACCTC